AATGTTTTGCGCATCACACCCATGTGTCTCCAGCTGGTTTTTCAGCCAACTGCCACGTTACTTGGCCTAATGCTTTAAGAGTCTCTCCTGCACCATTTTATCACATGTCCAAACCATATTCGTAGTGGTCTCACTGTTTTTGGAAGGAGCAACTGCTGAACGAGGGCGCCTCTGATTTTTCGCTGCAAACTTTGTCAGCTCTTTAACACTGTCTGTCCTAGGAACAAACTTGATTTCTGCCACTGGTTCATAAAATCGCAATTATTCGGTCAGCTTTATTTTTAACCATGGAGGTAAATTCTTTTATGCGGGAATTGAGTTAATAATTCAAGTCTTTGGGCTGTTATTGCACAAAATTTCTTATATAAAAGTTCTTCAATGTTTCCGATTATGCTCGATCCGTCTTCATTAAAAGACATAGTATGAGACATGATGGTATATACGCGCCAGTCCAGTCAGGTACAAACATTACTACGGAGGTTTTATCCTCGACAGTGGAAATTGCTTCATAGCGTCATTCCAGTGCTAACTTAGTTCCATATCAGTATCTTTGTCCATGCATTGGTTTGACTAAATTCTCAAGGTTTCCTTTATCTTCCAGTTTAAAAAGTTTTTCTCTTTGCCTTCTTTTCCCGCAGTGTGCGGCGTCCTCGTACTGCATTTTCATCTTGCCGAGTTATTTTTGCAGTTTATTTTCCACTTTCGAATCTTTCATTTGTCTTCGCCCGTCCTCGTTTCTGCGCTTGTCTATGCTGACGTTGATCCGCGTTGCACCATCTGGTCAAGTTCTGAACTGTTCATATATCCTTTTGTGTATTGTATTGTCAGTTTCTCCTATTTAATTGAGGCTGCAATCGCAAGGTGCGGTGTAGATCCAACCTTGTTGCTTGGATTTCAGCTCAGTGGTTTTGACATACATCAATTAGCCCCCACATGTTTTTGGCATCTGAATGCCAGTAGTATTCCGCGCCTGTGGGTTATCCTCTACAGCTTCGCGCTTAGATCTGGTATATGTATTGCAACAGTGTTGAAATTCTCTTGTTCACTTTTTGTTGTTCTTTTGCTACTTTTCCTTTGATGATCGTTGATTTTTTTGTATTAATTATCTCAGGTAGCTCCTGTTTCTGAGAGCTCTCCGGGTTGTTAGCCAGTTCCTTTTAGATGCTGATGTCGTGTAAGCTCAGTTCGAAACATCTGCAAGTTCGAGTTCTCACGTTGCCCTTCTTCACGCCATATGTATGTTTGAAATGTAGCGGCGGGAACTTATTTATTTATATATTGACTGGTGGAAAAAATTCGTTAGTGTATTTGTTCCTCTTTCATAATTGGTGCGACTGGGAAAAGTATGGATTTGTATTGTTACACTTCCATTCGTTTTTGATCAGTGACTTTTCAATGCAGTCGATTCTTCCCATTCCTGTACCATAAGTTTGAGCCCAAATATTCACAAATACCTCTCAGCGGTTTGTATTGTTCAAGGTCCTGCAGGGTTTTTGAGATTTGTCGCAAGATTGAGTGGCCTTTCATTAAACGGTGTGAAACTGAATGATGTTAAATTTACAGCTGATTACAGTATTTTTATCGAGAACGATGTTACTGTCCTCGCTCTCTTCTTGTTAGGTAAGGGCCTTGTGCAGTACTGTTTCCAGTTGTATCGACAAAGCTGCTTAAAGGAATTGTATAGGAAGTCCATTCCCAGCCTCCGAATGGCTCGTTAAAGACTATTAAGCTTATATGCGGCATCGCTTCTTGATGCATAGACTTATGTTAAATGCATGTTTCTCAATGGGTTTTATTACTGTAATGGATGTACATTCGATTTCAGGCAGTTAATTTTTTTGCTATGTTTCTTTTTAATTTGTTTATGTACATATTCTATTTGTGTTACTGGGAAAATCATTTATTCAGTAAATTTTTATTCTCTTACGTTTCCTGATATATCCATGCATACATTCCCAGTTCGATAAATGACCTGTTGTTGTAAGAAATTTGCAGAAACAGCCTGTTTTGTACAGTGTTCATGAACAGTGTCATGTTTTGGTGATCGTTCTTTATCGCTAGTGCATATTTTTGCACTCTTCATCGTTTTTCTTTGCGTTCTTATCTATGTTCTTATGTTCCTTAGTAAATAACAAACGTAATTTTTGAGGTGGGTTATTCTGATTAATAAGCTGAAGTACCGCAGATGCTGGAACATACGGAGAATGTTTTCTTGCAGTTAATTCGGTCCATTAGTCTCGTGGATGATACAGTAGGAGTGCGCCAAACTAAAATCGTTTTGGTTCTTTTATCGAATTTCTATGAAAATACGTTGACGTCCGGTTGCTGATGTTACTTTTTGTCTGCTTTACGTGCTTTGTGCATGTTGCTAGTCGTGCAAGAGTATTCTTCTGCTATATCAGAAATTTTCTTCGAATCTATCAAGTTCAGTATATAACTGTTCTATTTCAGCAGGATGATATCGACCGAGAAATACTCCACTACTTGACAACGCCAAAGGGGCGGACAGGATTGGAAACTTTTTCGAAAACGTTTAATACCGTCACAGTAGCGAAGAACGACAAATCGCGGGTTGACGAAGTAGAACGGGTAAAATGCTTTCTTTTATTTGTGATGCAAAACAGCATCGGGCTCGGTCTTAGTTAACACGCTGTAATGCCATAAGTTTATCGCATCGACAGGATACAAAACGGCGATGGCGCCATATCGTTTCGATTTTTTTGCTTGAGCAAGATCAAATTCGGCTGAGCACATCTTCTGGTTGCTTTTGGCCTAAACGTTAGATGTGTGAGTAATGTGCTGTATATGCATTGAATCTGACCAGTAATCAGTTGTGAGTAGTGTAACCCAGGAGAAGCCTCGTTCGCTGGAATTCTTTCCTTAGACCCACTAAGGTGCAGAGATTAAACGAGTCAGTAGCGAAACTGATTGTCGAAAAGATTGTAATGCCCGATGACTGTAGTGATTAGTTGATTTTTATTATTAGAGTGAATTATAACTTGATGTAATCAGGTTGCATAGTGATTTATAATCTGTTGACTATGTTGATGCACCTTTGTTATTTTGTATCAGATGTCACAGATCCGTTCTACCTCTTTGACAGCACTTTACTTTTAGTTGGTGAAAAAGCATCGGTTTCTACCTCCAAACGAAGTCAGCGTGAAGGCATATCGAAAATTAATTGATTACAAGAAAGTTCTCTTCGACACTGTTAACGAAGCTGCCGGGAACACACTGTGTCATTCGCAATCCGCAGTATCGGCACCAGAAAAGTCCGCTTCAAGCACCATTGGTATTAATGATGTCTTTCATAAAAATATTTTGCTGTTACTGTCTTGTAACCCTATGTAACAGCAGTAGGGTGGCTTATACTGTCGTATTACTACCTGAGACTAAGATTAACTGAGCAACAGAATTGCTCGGTTTAATGTGACCAGTTTGACCGTTGCCATGATTGAGAAATTTTGAGCAAATTTCCGTTCTCTCTTTCGAGATGTTCAGGTGAATAAGCCAAGCACCAGTCCTGAGTCTTTAGGATAGTTTTTTTCAGTCTGTTGATCGTCACCATTTGCTCGTTTGTTTCAGAGTTGTACAATAGCTCTCTGAATATGCATCATAGACAGCTTTGTCAAAATCTGTAAAGACGAACTGCATGACTTTAAAGGACAGCGTACGATTTATTGCGTGTTTTTGATGAATGCCAGTAAAACCATTTTTCGGAGACTTACAGTGACACAATGTTATCTCCACGCTCAGTATCTGATATAAATACTATTGATTATCTTTGGTTGAATCGCTGAATGAATGTCAGACAGTAATTGCTCTTTCGCCTCACATACTCCATTTTCATGTTGGGTGACAGAAGCAGAACCTCGCTTGACAGGCTTCACTACTGACGTTGAATCACTCTGACAGTCATTATTCAGTACTGAGAGCTAGATTCCGTCAGAAAGGTTCTGGGTTCAAGTCCCGGTCAGGGTTATTCATCTATTTTTCCTGAGGTTTATAAATGAGTATCACTCTGATAAATGAGCGGAAAAGAAACAGGAGTACAGACTCTGCTTGTCACGAAGCTGCTGTCCGTGCTCTCTTTACAAATAAGATACTCCTGGTTGAAGACATGGAAATGGAGACAAGCGCCTCACCATTAGCTTAATACAAACAAATTTGCTGGAATTGCCCCCCATCATGCTAGTTTATGGAAGATCGAAGTTCCAATGGTTACAATCTTTCCTTCTTTCCGCGTTGTCCGTCAGAGTGGAAGCCTGCATTGCACTAAATCGAAGGCCCAAACGTACGTAAATGTCGCTTTCCTGAGCAGTACTGTTATAGTATTTACTGTTCAGTAAGCCGTTTGAATTTCAGAAATGTTGCCCGTTCATAAGTATCCTCTAACGCAATAGCATTAAATTATCACAAAATTAGCATTTGATATAAAAGCTTTTCTGAAGCTTGTTTTCAGAAATACTTCCCTTGGAAAAAAGAAAAGTTTGACAGTTGACGAGTTTTCGGTGATAATGCCACATGAAACATTTTTTCCTGCGTATGGTGCATTGCTGCTCCCTGTATGTGTCAGTGGGTTCTTCAAGGAGGTCTTGTTTTGTAAAAGGAGTATTCGCAGTTATGCGCATATTAGTTAGTTGCTGTATTCGATTATCTATTTCGAAAGGTCAGGTCACTGCTGTTTTACGGCTTAGTGACCATGCTAACGGATATCCGAGAACGGCGGTTGAGCAGCGCGCTTCCAACAGTCTCCTTTGCAGAGGAATCAGAACTGTTACCTTATGCTCACAGTATAGAAATGCCTGAAATGCAGCGAATATCACAAACCTAACGTTTTGCTTACTAAGCGGCTATAGGTGATAATCACAACAAGCACGCAGTGTCAAAACACTGAACGATAAACATTAGGATTTGGATTGCAGTCCGTGCTTTCTACTGCGATTTTAGCCACCCACCGGCTAGTTTGACTTGATGGAAGATCAGTTATCTACGGGTGACATAAAATCTGTTGTTCAGCGAATACGCTCCATGTTGAAATGGCGTTGTAACTGTACGTCAGAACAAGCAGTCGACTTATTTCATTTCGTTCACCTTCCACACTGAAGATTCCAAGGTAGAACATAGGTGAAGAGGGGAATCTTCTAATCTTATTGCGATTTTCTTGAACGAGGAATTCATCGTTGTGTGCATCAAAGTAGGTGAGATGAAGAAATGAGACTGACCTCCAAACTGTGATAGTATGATGATATGGTATACTTGTCGTAAAACTTGAGAAATTTGCGGCCAAGCCGTTAATTGCTAGCGGATTGGTCCCTCCAGTGAGTGTTCGATTCGATCATGGTAATTACAGGGTAATAACGTTGTTTTATGTTGTTCTGTTGAGGCGAATGTTATAATGTAGAAATTGTTGAGTGATTGTTGAAGCGTGTGATAAAACGAATTTTCTTTGCAGAAGTAGTGGCATCGACTTCACAGGAACCAGACGAAAGTGAAGAAGACGAAGATCCCTTCAGTTTATATAACGTAAGTATGTTGGCAGAGTAAATGTGCGTGCTGAAGAAAGTTATAAGTGCCTCAGCACTGAACTGTATTTTTTCTCTTTTTTTTCGATTGTGTTTTGCCGTAAACATTTGTCTTAACCATATAGGGTCTCCTCTGACTCCGTTGCCCCTGTCTCCTGAGCCGACTGCCGCAGTAATAGCGTTCACCCTTGCACTTGGCGACTTCTTTTGTGCGGCCTAGCTGTGTCCTAAAGTTTTCAAAATATTATTTGCAACTTCGAAGCCGTTTTTCGGAGGCGTAGATCGCAGCGGAGATTCTTGTCGCGTTTCACTGATTGCATCTCCGTCACATTCGTGTTCGGGCTATGATATTGGCCAGAGGTGCCTGTGAGGATGCAGGTGTTCAAGTGTTTTTAAGGAGATATTGTTGATGATAGGAACCACAGCATTAGTTCCAGTATTTTTTCGTTTGTCTAGTAAAGGCACGCCTTTGAGCTTTGAATCGATGACTGCTCTGGCCTCTCGGTTATCCAGGCTGAGAAAGGAGATGCCTGACTTTGGCATATTCGGTTATAAGTCCGCAATAGCGAACATGAGAAACGATATTTTAGTATGGGTCGTTAATGGCATCTCTCGTTGCACTTTTCTGTCCTAGTGAATATGCCTCTTTGTTCCGCGCCTGGACATGCGATTCAGGTTCTTTACAGCCAGCCGTGACGTCAGCAATTGTCCAATAGTTTCTGAAGCAGCCATCTCCTTCTGGCAGCAGTAAATATCGGGACAGGTGCAGTGTATGGTTGAATGGAGCAGATGCTATTAAAGTGGATGCATTGTTAAGCGAAGGGTAGTAAGGCAGATAAGTTAAACCTTGTGCGAAAGCATGTTATTCGTTTATCTCTGCGATAAACCTCCACTTTATGTTCTTTGCTTGTGTTTTTGACTGTTTCTGCTTGTTCTACCTGGAGACTTCTTTCCCCTTGCTTTTCTACCTTCCGTCTGTGTTTTAAGAGTTTAGTATTGCGTTATCTATCTTCGAATTTCTTCTCGTTTTTGAAACCGAACTGATATTTATAGAACGAGCATCCCCTGCCTACCAATTGGAGGC